TTGTTCCTTTCCTTCTTGTCTTTTTCTGCTCCCTCCCACATCATCCCATTCTCCTGCAACTGCTCCGATCCTTCTGACATTAATGCATTTATCTCTCCACAAACGATTCATGGACACTTCCATTCCTTCATATCTTCTTGGCATCCTCTGGGAACTGTTTTCCTCCTCATCTCTCTGTGTTCCTGACTGCTTCTGTGGGCTTTGTTCTGGGGATTGCAAGGCAGAACTGGCTAGAAAGTAGGAGTTGAGGTTTGTTCGTTTTTGCTCCCTGGCAGTGGCTGTGGTCAGAGCCCAAGTACAGCAGGAGCCATTTCTGGAGACCACCGAGGGCACCAGCATCAGCATCAAGTGCTCTCACCCCAATATCCGGACGGCCGATTTCATCCACTTCTACCGTCAGCTGCCGGGCCAAAGGCCTGAATTTCTGGCAATGACTGTTAAACAGTCCAAGGAGTTGCGATCCCCTGAAGGACGCCTGTCGGTGTCGACAGATCGGCGATCCAGCGCGCTGTGGCTCGGCCGGCCCCGGCGCGGGGACGCGGCCGTGTATTACTGCGCGCTGGGGGCCACGGGCAGAGGAGCCGGGGCTGCGGCCGGGCACGAACCGCCGCGGGCGGGGCCGGGCGGGGCCAGCAGGGGGCGCTGCCGCTCCGCCCGCCGGGCTCCCGGGGCTCCTCCTCGCCCCGCACGTCCCGGGCTGCCGGCGCCAGAACCGACACCGGCACCGCCAATGGGACCCGGACCGATACCAGGACCGATAGCAGCACCGACAACCCACTCCGGAACCCACACCAACGCCAAAGCTGGCACTGATGCCGACACCGACACTAACATCAGCACCCACACCGACAGCTCCAGCTTGGAGTTACCGACCGTGCTCTGCCCCTCTCCTCAGCCCGGGCTGCGTCCAGCTGAGCTCCTGTCGGCAGCAAACAAACCTGCCAGGCCTCAGCTACATGTGCACACTGAGATGCTCTGTGTGTGGCAGGGAGGGCAGCTGGTGTTGGACTTGGCAGGGTCAACTTCTGCATCTCGTGTTTCCAAGGCTTCAGTGTGGCAGGGGAAAGATTGATTGGAGTTTGCTGAGAGCGGCAGATGCCCACCTTGAGTCCACTCGCCCACACTAAAGCCTTTCCCTGCTGTATGTCTGTCCCTGAGTATTGGGTTGGGAGGAATAAGTTTAAAGTGGGCCAGTAGTGAGGAGGATTGTAATTCATCAAGTGACCTTGCAGCTGGAAGGAGCCCTTGATAAAGCAGTGGGAAGAGCCGATGGTGATCCTTTAACAAGCACCAAGTTTCACTGAACCTGCATTTCTGCTTTTGCAATTCTGCCCTGAGGTGGCTTCAGGGATCCCGCGGTATGGGAGGGAAGGGAAACACATTTTTCATTCTAGCTGTGGACTGGTGATTTTTCTGTCTGTCTGCCTGTGCTGACTCACACACAACTCTCCGTGTTTGGCATGTCTTACCTGAAACTGAGACCCTTTCCTTTCCCAGTTTGGAGAGACTCCTTATTAGCACCAGATCATCACAAGATTTCATGATGGATCAATACTAATGAAATCCATGCAGTTAATTCCTTCAGACATAAACTATTGCCTCAGTCTGAGATTAAGTTTTGACTGAGCCACACCAGAGCTCCATCAGGTGTTTAGAAAGCAAGATGGGTTCCACTCAGAATGTTGGGAGACAATGGGAGGTCTCCCTTGTGCTTTGGCATAATTAACTCTGTTGGTTGATACTTAATTCTGTTTTGATTCTGTCTTGATTTTCGAAGTATTTTCACCCATGTAGTAGACCACAGAAATAGGCAAGAGAAACTGGTAAGGCCCCAGGGATTTGGGCTGCCTTTCTTACCTGCCCTTCATTTCCACAGGTCTAGAGGACACCTTTGCAGAGGGAACAATTTGCCCACAAGCTCATCTGAGTGCAAACCAGCACACCTAATGCTGGGGGCTGTGCTTTCCTTTCTTGCACTGCTGCCTGTGCATTTCCAGGTTTGGGCCATTCCCATTCCAAAAAGAAGGCTTCTCCTGAACACTGGGATGAAAAGCACCAGGATATATTGGGCAGGAGGACAGCAGAGAAGGCAGAAGACTCAGCTGCAGTGCTGGATAGATCCACAACAGGAGAGTGATATGTCAGCCACGGTGCCTCTGATTTTATCATTCTCAGGAAGAAGCTCCAGCAATCCTTAATGGGACATTCATGGGCCGTTGTGCTGGATGATGTCCCTCAGCCTTGTCTGTTACTCTCTCCCCAGCTCATGCCGATGTTCAGTTCTGGTTCTCTCCCCATGGGTGTGCCTGACCTGCTATTATTGCCCTCAGGAAGATGTGCTGGTCTATTTTGATTCATCTCCACTTTGTGCACAACAAAAGCTTTGCCCTGGGCTTGATAAGGACTTTGTCCTTCCACACAATGCTCCTGCTCTGCTGCTTCTGGCACCGTGTGGCCTTAGCAAAGTCAACAGCTGCTATCGCTACCTGGTGTGTTCCTGCCTTGTGAGCTCTTGGAGCCGCCCCATTTGCAGGGACACATGAGAAGCACAAATTTCTGTATGACTGCACACAGGTGTGCAGAAACATTTGCGTATCTGTGTCTGTCCGTGTGTGTCCCTCATCGGGAGGGAATTTCCTGACCACGCCAGGGACAGCGAGCACTGCCCTGGCCCTGGCCAGCACAGAGCAGCAGCTTCTCAGGCTCACCCAGAGCCCGAGTGCAGCTGAGTGGGGCCGGCAGCTGCCCGCTGCAGGTGTGTGCAGGCTGGATCTGCTTCCCATGCGCTGTCGCTGCTGTGTGCGATGGGACACAGCTGTCCCTTGTCCCTGGCCATGCCCAATGGGACCCGGACCGGGACCGACACCGACACGGACACCATCACCGGTAACAACATCGCTAATGGTGACACCACCATAGACACCGGCACCAGCTCCGACTTAGAGTCACCGACCATGCTCAGCCCCTCTCCTCAGCCCGGGTGGAGTCCAGCTGAGCTCCTGTCGGCAGCAAACAGCCCTGCCAGGCCACAGCTACATGTGCACACTGAGATGGTCTGTGTGAGGCAGGGTCTTTTCCAAGCTGCCTCTTGCTCCTTCAGAAAAAGGTGTGTGTGTTCTGGGGAACGGGGCATCCTCTGGCCTGTCTACAAAGGTAGGGCCAGCATTCTCTCAGAAATGCATCACTGAGAGCACACATTCCCACACAGCCCATGTCAGGCCGCTTCTCCTCTTGACTTAGCCCTTCTCTTCCCAAGGCTGAAGAGCTGGTTTTGCCTTTTGGAAAGGCCAATGACAGGTCACAGTCATTCATGTGCAGAGCCCAGAATAACATGCTACACTGAAACCTCAGCTAGGTCATATATCAAATCCATTATGGACAGAATGTCCTTTCAAAAGAAACTGTTCACAGAGTCTGAGACAGTATCTGCATGCAGTCACCTAAGCATCCCCACTGAGAAGGTGTTCAGAGTGCAAGGCTGTTCCTTCTGTTCCTTGGCACCCAATGGATCTCCCTGACAATTTCATCTGTAATCTCTGCAGGAAATGAACAATTGAACCTTGACACCAAATCCTTTTAAACTACTCTTGCATGCACACACACACACACAGACATACAGACACATGGATACACAGACAGAGAGAGAGACAGAAACACATACACAGAGAAACATGGACACACGGATACAGAGACACAGACAGGTCTCTCCAGGACAGCGCACAGCTGCTCGACGCTAAGCTGCATCACATTGGCTTCATGGACACAGAGAAAGGCTGAGGCTTCCTGCCCAGCTCCTCTATCTGTGTGTGTGGATTTCTTTCCAGTGCCCTGAAGGACAATTTGGGTGTCCCCACATGACAGTAAATGGAGAATGTGAGGGAACAGATTATGGGAGTGA